GACGATGTTAAATCCATTTACGAGATACATATCTGAGGAAAAATTCATCGTTGGTCGGCGCCACCTAGCGTGCAGGCATGAATTAGCAGAAGGTGTACAATCGTTTCTCATTCGGTGTGAAAGCACCGTTCGTCGGCGATTCGCCTTGCTTTTTTCGCATCGCGCTCAGTGTGGAAAGGCCTTAAGTCACAAACATACTCAATGCAAGATAAAATGGTAGAAAAAGAAAATGATTAGAGGGCCACTAGCTTAACTAACACTGACACGTTAAATGCAAGTTCAAAAAACGGCAGAAAGTAAGACACTAATTTAACTAGCTCATTGATGAGGTAAATAAAAGGGAAAAAAAGGGGGGAAAAAAACAAAACAGGTAGTATACACTGACACACTAAATCTAAGCCAAAAACATATTAGTAAAAAGCTGAGTGTTGGGCACCAGCTTTTCTAGCTCACTGACACATTAAATTTAAGTTTTAAAAAAATAGTCGAAAAATTAATTTATTAGTAGATCTCCAGCTTAACCAGCTCACTGACAAGGTAAATGCAATCCAGAAAAAAAGGTAGAAAACAAAGGTTAGTAGGACAGTAGCTTAACTAGTACATGGACACACTAAATTCAAGCCAAACATATGTTATTAAAACAAAGCTGAGTGTTGGATGCCAGCTTAACTAGTTTACTGAAATGCTGAAGACAAAAAAAAGTAGAAATGATTAGTGGAACAGTAGCTTAACTAGCTCACTGACAAAGTAAATGCAAGGCAGAAAAAACAGAAATAAAATGATTAGCAGGACACTAACTTAACTAGTACATGGACACACTGAATGCCAATGGTAGAAAAAGACATTGATTAGTGGGATGCCATGCTAGCTTAACTATTTCACTGAAAAGGTAAATACAAGACAGAAAAAAAGGTAGAAAAACAGATTTGTACAACCCTTGTAAATGGACACACTAAATGCAAGCAAAAATATGAAAAAGGGGTGACAGCTTATCAATAAATGCAAGTAAAAAAAACAAAAATGCAGAAAATAAGTTTAGTGGGGCACCAGCGTAAGCTCACTGACAATGTAACTGCAAGACAAAAAAATGAAAGAAAGTAGAAAATGATTGGCTAACCATAGAAAAATATGGTTAGCCGCACACTAATTTAACGAGTCCTAAAATGCAAGTAAAATGACAAAAAAATGAACTCTTAATGAACTCCCAGACACTAAAGTAAGTCAAATGCGAAGAGATTTTATCGATCAGAAAAAGATTGCTATTTCAAACAATGCAACATGAAACCTTTGAGAAAACCTCGGCACTCACAATTCGTTGGTGCAGTTAGCAGGTTTGTCCATGCGATGACCCTCTTTTAGTAGCTTAAAGAGCTCCTCGACAGGTATTCCTGGATACGGAGAACCGCCGAGCGTGAAGATCTCCCACATTAAAACCCCGAACGACCAGCTGGAAGAGACAGACACACCTTCATCAGATCATTTCACCAGTACAACACAAACAAACATGTTCCTCTCGTGCTTCATATTACACTTTCAATCAGTGTTTTAACTGTAAATACAGTGCGAGTATATTGGCATTCGACAATCAACATTTTGTTCAGTTATTCTTGATTATTTAACAACCGCCAAGCAACGAGTCCCAGCCTCTTCTGTGGTACCATCACTTCACTACCCCCAAAATTTGGACGAGGCACGCTCTGTGAAATGAAGCCTTTCCAAAAATCCCAATTTGATCCATTTACAGTAGTGATATTTGTTGGCTCTAACAAGGCAGTAGCTGTTGGGCTCAATGCAGTCTTTCTGAGAGCGTCCTGGACTGTGGGACCACTTGGATTCAAAGCAGGCTTTTGTCCTCTATGGAATGCCACAGTGACACATATTGTCCAGCCAATACAAACATTAGCGGGACCCACAGGAAACAAACGTCCAGAGGGCGGAAGATTGTAGCGGGGAATGATTTTTCAACACATGCTAATTCCATGTTGCTTCATCTAAGACGAAGAGGGAAAATAAAAAACACAAATAAATGATAAGAGTTTCCACAGAGGGTTTCTGACCTTTGACTCATCATATGTGAGCTAAAAGCTTCCCAAAATAGGCCGATGGACATGCAGAGCCAGAAAGCCTTATCATCTGCAGCTTTTATTTATCCTGCTGAGTTAATAAAAGCATTTCACAATCACATGATATAACGGTTTGAAATCAGTGCATTACACAATTTGCTTGAGAAACAGGTCTCTACAACTACACACACAGGTTAGTAGAAAAGAAAAAAGCATGAGTGGGATCTAATTAACATCTCATTTGCTTCTCGTAAACCGCAACGAGCATCAGTGGAGAGCAAATATGAGACTTTGGTGTAGTCTCCTGCTTCTCAGAAGTTCTCTTCTTCTCAAAAATGTCTTAAATGTCTCAATGCTCAGATACCAGAGTTAGCAATAAGTGAGATCTCAATATGAACTCCTGAATAATATGTGAACTCAAAATGAAGATTTCTCATAAAGATTCAGTGGAGAGTAAATTAAAACTTTGGTGCAGACTCCTGCTTCTCAGATGTCAAGACTCAAAAAATGTCTCAAAATGATCTCAGATACCAACGTTTGAAATCAATGAGATCTCAATACGAACTCCAATACTTCTCATGAAGATTCAGTGGAGAGCAAATTTTAAATTTTGGTGTAGTCTCCTGCTTCTCAGATGTTTCTCCTGAGAAAAAAACTCAAAAATTGTCCTAAAATGATCTCAGATACCAATGTTTGCAATCAATTAGATCTCAATATTAACTCCAATATTTCTCAGAAAGATTCGGTGGAAAGCAAATCTGAGACTTTGGTGCAGTCTCCTGCTTCTCAGATGTTTCTCCTAAGAAACAAACCTCAAAAATGTCTCAAAATGATCTCAGATACCAACATTTGCAATTAATGAGATCTCATATGAACTCCAATATTTCTCATGAAGATTCAGTGGAGAGTTAATTGAGACTTTGGTGTAGTCTTCTGCTTCTCAGATGTTTCTCCTGAGAAAAAGGCTCTAAAAATGTCTCAAAATGTGCTCAGATACCAAAGTTTGCAATCAAATCTCTATATGAACTCCAACATTTCTCATAAAGATCACAATGAGTTGCTATCCACATAAATGTAATACCTCTATACAACTACTGTCTCATTTATGTCCATTTTTATTTCTCCAAAGGAATTGAAGCAGAAACATCTGACCTGAGACTAACTAGATATTTAAACTGAGAACTCATTAGGTCTCCTGAGCTACAAAAGAGCAGCCTCTGAGCAACACAATTTTCCTCTGGTTGTACTCTTTTCTGTTGACCCACAGCGGTCACGACACACAAAGCAAAGCACAAAGGCTCTCTGCTTTCGTTTACTCCTGTGGTTACCCGTCCATTTGTTTGTTTATTCAATCAGTTACCCTGTTTGTCTTCTTCTCGTTTTTATCTGGAGCTGCATCTTCTCTGACATGTTTGCCAAATTCATCATCTCTTTTCAGTCGCCCCATGTAACCGTGGCTAACCTCTCCATGATCAATCACTCACACCGGGAGCACAAAAAGGGTCACTGCGAAGTCCTCTTGAACCCTTGCCGCGCTTCAATACAAACAATACAGCTGTATTCTAGACCACACAAAAATAGGCTTATTGGAAGTTACCTAGCTGGGGACTATTTTTAGGCGCTGCGTAATAACTTTGCGCCTGCTGCACCCATGGTACGGCAGCAAAGTTCCTTGATTATTACGCCGGAATGAGAGTATAGTTCCTAGCCATATCTCAACTTTTAATTTTCCGTCGGTCTTAGTACACGATGTAACTACAGAAGAGTCAAGTTTTAAATAGGAAAAATATAGAAACTCTTTGGTCATTTTTGAGCGAGATGCTAACGGTCTAATCAGATTCAATGATCTACGCTAAGCTAAGCTAAAAGTGCTACCGCCAGACCCGGAGATCGGCTGAATGGATTAGAAAACGGTAAAACTCAACTGTTTAACTCTAGGGGAGTTGGAAAATGAGCCTATTTTCAAAAATAGTGGAGTGTTCCTTTAATGATGGAAATCATTTCATAATGCATAAAATCCTAAATGGACTCATTAATAATAAAAATTGTTAACTATAAATTTAAATAAAAATTGAAATAATTATTATTTTATTATAATTTAATTCAAAAATATTTTTATAATTTAATTATAAAATAAAATAATTAATATATTTATATTTTATAATTAAATATATTTTAGAATTTAATTATAAAATAAAATCATTTAATATAATTTATAATTTTATAATTGTATTATTTAGGGTGAAATAGGAACCCAGACATGATCTTGTCAGATTTTTCATGAGATAAACATTAATGCTAACCAGGCAGTAAAGGCAAAAAGTTTAAAAATGTTTAGGTTTAAAAAGGCCAACACCTTTCTTTAATCTAATATAGCTGACCTTGCATCAGGCCAGATTAACCTTTACCATTAAAGCCATCAATTTAACATCCAGAACAAACAGGATATTCACACACATGCATCCATATTTCCATTTTTGCAAGCACTGCAGCTTATATCCCATTCCCCAGGGGTCTTGTTTGTCAAAACATGGCAATTTTTATTATAATGTATGTATTAATATAATATGATGTCATGTATGGATTGTGTCTGCCTCTGAGCCAATCAGAGAGCTCGAGACCTTAGCGACTGATGACACATAATTAGCATTGAGCCCCGAGACAAAAGATTCAAACTGTTGCCATCAATAAGGGTGTCTTTGCTATTGATTTAATTTTACTGCACGGACCACACAAAGAGCAGACAAACATTACAAAAGATAATGACCTGCAAGAGATTACACAACATGTATCATTCAGGGTGGACAGTATGACCACATTCTTTTATGATAATATCTGTTTTTGTACATTCCAATGCCATTCCATTAAATACTTCACAAATTAATAATTTGGAACTTGATGGATGCAAACCAAAAGATCAGATTAATAAAAAGATGAATGTAGAAATGACTCCAGCCTGTGCATGCAGCCAAAACTTCAAAACGTCCCGCAGAGGTTTCATGAAAAAAAAAAAACACGTGAGCTTAAAATGAAAGGGAACAAGCGTGCACTAGCGGATAAACGCAGTCACAAATGACAGGATTATTTCACTCTATGGAAAATAAAAAGAAGGGAAGAGACTTTCAAGTGTTCAAAAACAACAACAACAATGAGGTACAGTTGAGCTGGATTGCAGGAGTGTGACCGGACGGAGTGAAGGGAAGATAGAGGGCATTTCCGTCCGGGCTCTGGGAGGTGAGGTGAGATGAGAGTCTGCAGGGCTTTGAAGCCGCGCAGATTAGTAACACGGCACTGGTCGCAAGTCGAGCGTGAAATCTCTCACTTTTTGGTGTAGCGCTGGCGGCGAACAGCCCTTCTTCTTTCTCTGCCTGACAAAAACACTTCCTTAACTTTCCATCACTCGTGCTCCTTTTTTTTCAGAAGGGAAACCATTCTTGTACCCCTGAACTCACCTGCCAGCAGTTGCTATTCTTTTCCCAAACTACTCGCTTTACACAAACACACAGCGACTCCAATCACAGTAGAACTGTTTTCCTGCGCTCTCCAAACCACTTCAGTCCCCTTTTTCAATTTGTAGAAAGAAAAGCAGCCCTAACAGTATCATTTCAACTTTGATCCATAACAACTTGTGCAGAACCAACCAGAACCACTGTGCAGAAATAATAAGCTATCATCACTATATGCAAATGAACTGTAATAAATGGCCACACATGTAGAACCAGTAACAATACCAGTTGCACTAAATGTTTTTTTTTTTTTTTTGAGATTTATACACCATATCAAAGCTGAATAAATAAGCTTTCCATTGATGTGTGGTTTGTTAGGATAGGACAATATTTGGCCGAGATACAACTATTTGAAAACTTGAATCTGAGGGTGCAAAAAAATCTAAATATTGAGAAAATCATCTTTAAAGTTGTCCAAATGAAGTTCTTAGCAATGCATATTACTAATCAAAAATTAAGTTTTGATATATTTACGGTAGGAAATTTACAAAATATCTTCATGGAACATGATCTTTACTTAATGCCCTAATGATTTTTGGCATAAAATAAAAATCAATAATTTTGACCCATACAATGTATTGTTGGCTATTGCTACAAATATACCCCAGCGACTTAAGACTGCTTTTGTGCTCCAGGGTCACATATTTACATGATTGAGAAGGTTTCCTGTATTTGCTAATTGCTTAGGTTCAATACTGTAAATAATAACCCTATCTGCACAACCTGAATCCCTGACAATATTCAAGAAATGGCTAAATACTCTTCTCTTCTTTGTGAATGTCACTGCATCATATTGAAGCCCGTTTCCACCACTGAACAAAAAGTAAAAAGGCCAATTGCGACTTTTTATCTCATAATTCTGACTTTTTTTCTTGCAATTGCGAGTTTATATCTCACAATACTGACTTCTGTTCTCAGAATTGTGAGATATAAAATCTAAATTTTGAGTTATAAAGTCCAATTCTATGGAAAAAAAAGACTGACTTCTTTTCCCAGAATTGTGAGACAAACTCACAATTATGAGTTATAAAGTCAGAATTGCATGATATAAAGTCGCAACTGCATGTTATAAAGGCATAATTGCGAGATATAAACTCACAATTGCGAGAAAAAAAGTCAGAATCGGGAGATAAAAAGTCGCAATTACCTTTTTTTTTATCTTTTATTCAGTGGCAGAAACAGACGTCCATAACATCTTACTGAAGAAAGAAAAAAACGAAACTAAAAATGTTCTTTTTATAAAACGGAGAGTTCCGGTCCTTGATTCTAATTGGTTGAGCCGCGTTCGAAGCTGTTGTAAATTACTCTACAAACATACACCTTTGTTTACATTTGTGTGTTGCTCGGCAACCACTTTGTTGGAACCACAACTGATTCTGAGGAACTACATTGTTTGGTGGAAGAATACTGTTTTTATTTATATCATTACACTTTATTTGCTCTGTTTTATTCTGTGAAACCTTACTACGTATATGGAATAAACGTTTTATAAAAGCAATAATCCCCGTGAAGTGGTGGTTTACAGTGAATTTATAACAGCTAAGGGGGTTTTAAGCATGACACAAAGCGGAAACAACGCCCCTTAGCTGTTATAAATTCACTGTAAACCACGGCTTCTTGGGGCTTATTGCTTTATTCTATGCTTTCACTATTTCTTAATCCCTCTCTGTTCAACCTTATACTATTCTGAACAATGTTTGAAACTTTGTACTACAAGCACTTTTGTGTTTTTGCGTCATAAAAGTATCTGCTAAATGAATAAGTGAAAATGTGAATGGACTTGGGAGGGAGATTGCGTTGTACTGTAAACATCAGCGAAAGAGCATTAGAAATCTTGTTTTCCATGACATCAAACAAGTAATGAAGGACGCAAACGGTTGACTTACACATCGCTCTGGTGCGTATAGACTCGGTCGAACAGTGCCTCTGGAGCCATCCATTTCACCGGCAGACGACCCTACAGACATCAATAGGAGAAAAGGTCAAAGACGGGCAACACAACAACATCCAGACACTGCGACACTCACATCTTCATCTGTACCAGACCCTTGCTAGCCTGGAATTTCATTAAGCTCCAAGCAGCCAATAATGACTGGCAATTAAATCCTGTTGGGATGTATCGCCGAACTCTAATTTCCCTTCAGAGTCATTGTGGGGTTATAAATTGAGGCTGGTGGAGAAGATACAAGAGTCAATGGCGTTTGAAGTGCTAGATCCAATAAGAAGGGCCCCGAGTTCAAAATCTCCTGGCTCACAGTGTTTTATTTAGACAGAGTTGAACTAGTGTAATTGAATCTAACCCCAGTCATTAATCAGTCATCAGTATCTCTCAATCTGGGCTTTGCTCGTTGTTTTAATAATGGCAAACAATATTCATGGCCAGATCTTGGTGACCTTGATAAGAACTAAGAAATAAATGAGGACTAAAGCTGTATTGATGAATAAAGTAGGGGAAAGTTGCCGCTTACATTTACTTCTCTTTTGTAAAATCCAAGTTCTACCTGTTAAAGATTAGCAAGCTATATTTTTGGACATGGTTGCTGGTTTTCTACTGGTCCAACCAACTCTAACCAACATCATACAATTGATCAACTATCTATATCAACTAACAACCAGTAATTACTACTTCCACTACTACTTACTAACTAGATCCAATTGATATAAAAATGACCAACTAGAATCATGCACAAAAAGACTACGAATGTTTAAGTAATTAAATAAGATCAATTCTGAATTCAATCCAACTGATCAACCATCTGTGCCATCCAACAACCATAAACGACCAACTAGAATCATGCACTATAAGACTAGGAATGTTTAAGTAATTAAATAGGGTCAATTTTGATTCCATGTTGATCTTTCGTGAACATTGACCCAAACATAATGATGATAACGATGCTATCAATATTCACACACTCTTCCTCTGCCAAACCTAAACTCTCAGATGAGTGAATTACAGTCTAAACAAGCATCTCAGATGGGCTAGAGACTGGTATAATGGTGGGAATGCAAGTTAAAGCTATGCTGATGTGTTTAGGTTTGTCACTAACATTTCTTTCTCATGAGCTTGAACAACAAGCTTTGGAATAAGAGAAGAGGGCAGGCCCAAATAAGCAAAGAGCTGAAATCACTTTACACGCCGACTGCCTGGGAATCTGCAAATCATGCCAAGACTGGCGAGAGGAGGGAGGGATGTGGCAGATAAACAGATGGGGAAAGAAGAAGAAATGAAAGAGAGAAAAGGTAAGAGAACAAAGAAAGAGATGGCAGGAGGCTGGAAGGAGTCGAGCGTGAATATGTCTGTATAAAGCAGTGGTTCCCAACCCTGGTCCTGGAGGCACCCCAACACTGCACGTTTTGCATGTCTCCTTAATCAAACACACCTGATTCAGGTCATCAGTTCATTAGTAGAGACTCCAAGACCTGAAATTGGTGTGCCAGAGAAAGGAGACATGCAAAATGTGCAGTGTTGGGGTGCCTCCAGGATCAGGGTTGGGAACCACTGGTATAAAGGATGCTTCAAGACCCAATGAGATCTAAATCAGAGTTTTGCAGCCATTCATATGGTTGTGTACACTTAAACACTGACAGACTTAACATTTAGTAGATGCATTTTATTTAATTTACAGTCTTTCTTATCAGGAAAAATGAACCAAAAGTATTGAATTCAAAATTAGAAATAAAAATGTCCTTCTCCTACACTAACGTTCACAAGTTTTTTTGATAGAAATTCATATTTTATTCAACAAGGATACATTAAATTTATCAAAAACGACAGAAAAGACATTTATAATGTTACAAAAGACTTCTATTTCAAATCAATTGTTCTTTTGTACTTTTTATTCATCAAAAATCCTGAAAAATAGTATCTTGGTTTCCTTAAAAATAATAAATAGCACAGCAGTTTTTATCATTAATAGTAAGTAGAATAAATGTTTTTCGGGCATATCAAATAGATTTCTGAAGGATCATGTGACATTGTAGACATTGTAATGGCTAGAAATTCAAGTTTGCATCAAAGAAATCAATTCTATTTAAAATTATATTCAAACAGAAAACAGCTATTTTAAACTGTAATAATATTTCATAAACTGTGAATAAACATTTACTGTATTTTTAGATCAACTAAACACAGCCTTGGTAAGCAGAAGATACTTCTTTCACAAACATGTGTATGTCTTGTCTCAACTTCCTATTTAAATATCAACACAACTAAAAACTAATGGAGTGTCATTACATGCATCTATAAATTTCAACAAAAGAATGCATAGCGAGATGAAAATCAACAGGAAATGTGTTTTGACTAAATAAACTCCTGATGAAATGAAACTCACATTTGTGGTCTTTTTATAGTAATCTATGTTGTGGACGTCTCTGGCCAGGCCAAAGTCTGCAATCTTCATAAAGTTGCTTTCCGTGACCAACACATTCCTGGCAGCCAGATCCCTGTGTATACACTGCCACAGAGATGAAGAAAGATAGAAAGAGCATAAATCATCACGACTTCATCTTAAAAACACAGAAAAAATCACACGCAGACAAACAACACAAAGGTTTTAGGTGCTTTAGGGATAAAGTGCAGGGCGGATCTACGCGTGAGAGTGTCTGAGGCACGATAAGACTCCATGCGCATTCCAGACGTGAAGAGGAGCGTGATGACAGTGTTTAGTTAGCATGTTCGCAGTGAGAGCGCTGTGACCGCGCACATCTGCTGGGATTCATTCACTGTCTGTCTGAAAAATGCTGCATGAATCTAATTGGACGGCTGAATGCTCTTTAAACAAATGTGCACGTGAGAATAAACTGCCTTAGAAATGCTTATTATATGTTAAACTCTTCCATTTCTATTCTATAAATAGTTTAGCGAAACCACTAGCATCAAGTCTAGTCCATTTGTGTTTATTACGGCAAAGAAGAATAAGCCACTTGGAGACTTTTTTAAAAGTGACGTTTAGGGACAGGTAGATGTGAAATCAGATACTCTGAGGATGAAACAGAATATACAGGCGTGTGCAAATTAAACCCTTGAATATCTTTCAAAGATTTGACGGCGTGAACCTTGCAAACTATCCAGCAACTAGTTTCTTATGGGTAGTGCTCATTTTAGCAGCCTGACATGCAACATTTTTCCAGGCAGACTGATTAAAAGCTTGCAATTTTCAAAAAGTGTTTGCCATTTTGCATGTCCATTAGGGGTTTAAAAGACAATTAATATTCAGTAATATTAGCGATTTAACTACATCGCATGAGAACAAAATTTAAACTGAATTTAGATGACACTAACTTTGCAAAATCAACACTGTTGCTGAACTACACTGAATCAACACTAAACTGAATTGAGCTGAATAAAGACTACTGTTTTGGTTTACAGCTTAATTTAAAATGTTTCATAATTGATGAACTTTGCAACATTGACACTGTTGAATTGACACATTGACACTATTGACACACTGAAGTAAACTGAGCTGTACAATGCCACTATTATCTTCTGTACAGCTGCTTTTTTGTTTCATAACATTAACACTGTTATTTTGCTGAAATGTGCTTTGAAACAATCTGTATTGTATAAAGCGCTATATAAATAAAAGTGACTCGACTTGATTAGAAAGATCATAGAGATCTGAGGCTGTGACCAGCCCCATGTAAAGCCTATGTAAGTGACATTTATAAATCAATAAGTGATGATAATAGTATGTATATATGCTGTGCATGTGCAGATACCTTCTGTGAGGCTAAATACTCCATGCCACGGGCTACTTGATAAGTGCAGGACACCAGCTCTTTGAAGGTGAGAGGCTCATCTGATACTCGGGCTATATCGTACGAATACTCCATTCCTGGGGGCCGCCGGGCCCTCAAATACTCCCGAAGGTTTCCCTTAGATGCATACTCTACTATGACATATAACGGACCTGAAAGAGAGAGAGAGAGTGTCATCCCACTGTTCGGATTGTTCACACAAAAATGAAAATTGTGTCCTCATTTACTCACCCTCATGTTACTCCAAACCTGTATGTATTTCTTTCTTATGTGGAGCACAAAAGAAGATATTTTGAAGAATTTTATAACCAAACAGCTGCTGGCAGCCATTGACTTCTATACTATTGAAGTCAATGGCTACCAGCAACTGTTTCTTCAAACTATCCTTGTTTGTGTTCAACGGAAGAACATAGAGGTTTGGAACAACTTGAAGGTGAGTAAATTATTTTATTTTTGGGTGAACTATCTCTTTAAAATGAACCAGACTGGCACTTGCCATCCTGTGTGCACGCTCCCAACAGATTGATGATGTTCTTGTGTCGGCCAATCATCTTCATCATCTCCATCTCTGACACCAGGTCAGAAAGATCTTTCTCTGTTGCATCATCTAGAAAGGTTAAAAAAATAAAACACAAATAAACATAGTGTTCATTGTACCCACTCAACAAAATGTAATCTGCTTTTTTAGGAAAAATCCTAAAAAATAAAACAAAGATTATTGGAGCACATTTTACTAGAAAATGCTATATCAGCCTTTCTACTTCGAAATTTAGATACTGTAGATTTTTGTAGCATATATATATATATATATACACACACACACACACACACATTAGCTTTTATTTTTATATTTTCAGTTGTCATTTAAATTTTAGTCATTTTGTTATATGCTTTAATCATTTTTATTTATTTTATATTTCTATAAAGCTTTACTTTTTATTTTACATTCATGCATTTTCAAAGTTGGTGGCTCATGTTCGGTTACAAGACACTAATGGCATTTGATGCCAATTACAGCCAACTTGGCAAAATGGTTTTTTTTTTTTTTTTGAGCTTGATAGCCCATAGTCATGGTCTACCTTTTTTTTTAATGGGAAAGAGCAGAGCAGACATTCTGCAAACCATCTCATTCTGTGTTCCACAGAAGAAAGTCATACAGGTTTGTAATAAAGTTAAGACATGAAGTTAAGCAAATGATGACAATTTTATTTTTGGGTGAACTATCTCTTTAAAATGAACCAGACTGGCACTTGCCATCCTGTGTGCACGCTCCCAACAGGTTGATGATGTTCTTGTGTCGGCCAATCATCTTCATCATCTCCATCTCTGACACCAGGTCAGAAAGATCTTTCTCTGTTGCATCATCTAGAAAGGTTAAAAAAATAAAACACAAATAAACATAGTGTTCATTGTACCCACTCAACAAAATGTAATCTGCTTTTTTAGGAAAAATCCTAAAAAATAAAACAAAGATTATTGGAGCACATTTTACTAGAAAATGCTATATCAGCCTTTCTACTTCGAAATTTAGATACTGTAGATTTTTGTAGCATATATATATATATACACATTATACATAATACAAAAGCAGTATAAGTGGTACGTTAGTGTGCCATCCATGCCAGCGCATCCTATATGAGTAGACTGGCCGGACTGTCAGTCTGTGTCTCAGTGTAACTGTCTGTGTGGTTTAGTGTTACACTGAAGAGCCGCCACAGAGCTCTCCTTTCATTACCTCACAATTAAAAAGCGTTTCTTCCATTTAGAGTAATTACCTTAGTTCTATTATTATCTATTTATATTCTATTTATATTTATATAAATCTTTATATTTCTTTGTCTATAAAGCTTCATTTAATTTTAAACTTCAGTTTTCATTTTAATTTTAGCCATTTGAGTCCTCTGCACAATGTGACTTTGCTGCAGCCTGGAATTGAACTACTGGTTTCGTCTGGCCAGAGGAGAACTGGCCCCCCGACTGAGCTTGGTTTCTCCCAAGGTTTTTTCTCCATTCTGTCACCGATGGAGTTTTGGTTCCTTGCCGCTGCCTTAGAGACAGTCGCCTTTTCATTACCTGCCTGCTGATCACTAGAGCGAACCTGACACAATCCACTGACCGCCATTCCTGTCTTATCTTACTGCAGTTTCTTCTTCTAAGAATGCTGTGCACTCTTCCTTCCAAACCAGATTCATCAACGTTTCAAGAACTTCTCTAAAAATTGTTTTTTGTGAACTAAGATTCTGTTCGATACTTTACAGTGGCCCAAAAAATCTTCATTAGTGTTATTTTAGTATTATTCATATACTTTTGTAATAATTGATAATATTTTATGGTGACTTGACTTGACTTTAAGTTTTAGTCAATTTGTTATTCACTCTTGTCATTTTTATTACTATTATTTTTATATATATATAGCTTTAATTTATTTTTTATTTCAGTTTTAGAAATGTAGTACTTCAATTTATTTCAGTAAGTTGCCAATGCAACTCTTCTACTTTTTTTTTAAGTTTAAGATTTTCATTTAGTATTTATATTTTATTTCATCTTCTTTTCAATTTCCGAAAAAGATTTTTCATAATTCTAGTTTTTGCTAACAATAACAACACTACTGATTAAAATGATAGTTCCTTTCAAAAATATAAAAAAAGTAAATCTGTACCAGATTTACGAAAATATTTTAAACAATGCTTCAACTGTTTTTGTCGACATATTGAAAGTCAATGGGGTTCAAAACAATACCAGACCCCATTTACTTTCACTGTATGGACAAAAAATACCAAGATATTCTTAAAAATATCTTCTCTTGTGTTCTACAGAAGAAAGAAAGTCATATGGATTTGGAACAGCATCAGTAAACAACGCCAGAGCGTTAATTTTTGGGAGAACTATCCCTTTAAGTTTCTAAATGTTTTTCGAGACCAGTAATTAAGCCAGGTGTAAATGGTGAACGTGCTCTTGTTTTAAGTGTTTTCTCCGCTGCAGCCCTCCCCCCTCGGTCCTCTCAACATCCTTTAAAACTTCTTTTGAGCCACTGGCTCCCTCCCCCACTCTTCTTTCTTTCAGCGTGAGGGTCTTTCTTTGTGCAGGTGAAGAGCGAGAGCCGTGCAGCTGGTGAGCACCGGGTCAGCTATGCGGCCTCTTGACCCGAGCTCTACCAACATCACTCAGCACCAACAAATAACCCCGCGCAGGCCTCCACAGTCAAGACCTCCTCTCCCACTTTCTCCCTTTCTCAACATACGCACATTCTCAGATCATAACAATACCTTAACTAAAAGTTTCACCCAATCAAAACACTCTTAGCTTATGTGAAGTAGTTTTTTCATCTGCGACTGGAACGATTAGGGAGAGGCCATTATATCTGTATAATGTATAATCTGTATCTGTATATTTTATCAATGTCTGACATTTGGCCAATTTTGAGATAATTGTGCCCAGAATCGTCTATTCCAAAATCCAAATTCCAAAAATAACATTTTATTTTGACAAAAAAAAAAAGAATTAAATGAATTGCCGATATCTAGAGCTCAAAATGGTTTAAGATATATAAGTATAAATAACAAAAAGGAGGTCTACAACAATTTACATAAATGTAATGTACAATACAAATGTAATTACTAATAATATATAATAATATATCATTATATACACACATATATATAAATTAAAAATGTCAAATAACTGTAAAAAGAATATTTATAATAACAACAGTTTATATGAATTTAATGTATACAATACAAATTTATATTAATACATTTATGTAAATTAATATTTTGATATGTGTGTACAAACACACACGTAATATAATTTAAATAACTGTAAAATAAATTATAGCTATATATTTTTTATATTATTTTAATACATAAATAATTGTAAAATAAATTATAAATTATTTTTATTATTTTAATATATAATTGAATCATGAACACTATGATTCAACAAGAAGTGTCTTAGCGTGTTGCTGGGATCATAACACATTATTGCTTTTGTTCAAAATTTTCCATCTTTTCACTGATACTTTAGCCTCATAGGGTCCATATGACAATATTATTCTGTCTGCATTGTGCTCTGCCTGTCTGTCTGGTGTTTGTGCAAGATTTTTGAGCTTTTTAGCAACTGCCTTGTCTGGGCAGGCAGACATTATTAGAGTGTTTGCTTCCCGTCATCTTCAAACTCTTTGCTTTTCTTTGAACAGTCCACTCTGTCTTCTGCATGAAACAGTCTAAAGAGTCCAGTCTGTTGTTCTGTAGAATATCACATGTGAATTGTATCTGTCTGCTGAGCTGGTGTGATTTGTAGCTTGTATCTGCCCAGCTTTGATCTTTCACTCGAGTACCATCCGTATATGGACCAGTAGTTTTGTGATTCACAACATCAGAGTAGCTCCCTTGTAAAAAGCAATGTGAACCATTCGAAAGGTGACGCCCACATCAATTTATGAGCTGATGAGGTTAAAAGTCAAGTAATTCCCACCATCCTACATCTGATGAAGCCATTAGTGGTGAAATGTTTCAAATAAATTAAAACAAATGCAAAAATGGACCAGTTGCATAGGCCTAGATGAATAAAAACCTTCAGATACTGTTAACATGCAAGCAAACTAAGGGTAAATGTTGATTTAGGACACTCACTAGGGTACAGTTTTACTCACATGGATACTAATCCATAAATATTTACCTTTCAGCATCTTGACAGCCACAGTCACGGCCTCTTTAGGTTTGTCCTTGTCGATGCCCAGAGCTTCAGCCATCACAACCTGCCCAAAGCAGCCCTCGCCAAGCGGTTTACCGAGAGTTAACCTGCACAAACAAACACAAACATTACAGAGAAACCTAAAGCTTTTGACAGAACTTATTTATGCCCATTTGCATGAGCATTTCTATCCATCCAGACAGACGTTTTAATTCTGTAGATGCGATTATGATGCCAAAAAAATGCTGTCCAGTTTGGAAACCTTTTGCATTAGCGACATTTAACTGTATATCAGAGCTGCATGTGTTGTGTTTACTTAACTCGTAGGTGTTAAGTGGATGCCCTTTGCCTTCCACTGCAAAGCTTACATTAGACATTAGTGAGTGTGACAGCCGAATGTCTGGCTGGGAGATCTAGAGTTACGGTCCTCTGGGGTGAGTAACAATATGCCCTTTGGGGATTTAGAGACTTTCTTAAAGAGTGCAAGAGAAGGCTAGATAGAGGGGTTAACGCTTGACTAGTGCGCTCTGGTCAAGTGCAAAAAAGATTAGAGCATGTTTCAGGAGAGTGTTGTAACGTATACATCAGTTAGGAGACTACCACCTTTTCTAAAGGGGTCAAGTGTTTTATTTCTGTGCAGAATTGCAAAAATAATGACTGTTTTCAAACACTTGTAGTGTTCAATCAAACAGGTAGTCCCCAGTCTAATGCCGACATATATATATATATATATATATATATATATATAAAGCTGATTATGATTATATATAAACATAATCAGGTTTTTGTCAAAGAGTCTATTTTATTGCATTAAGGTTTTACAGCATTAAAAAAAATTATAAATTTCACAAATAATTACAAAGAAACGGCAAGTAACATTCAATTAAACAAAAATTATGAAATAGAAAGACTGAATTTTCTTGTAAAACTTACTCCAATAATCTTTGTTTTATTCACAACTTTGAAAATATGTTTTATTACAGAGCATGAAACAACATTAAAATAACTTATTTTATTTATGAACCAACTCTTCTTTTGAGAACAGCTCCAAAATTTGCTTAAATTCATCGAATGAAATTTTGGGGACATTTTCCAGCTAATTTGTCCCTTAATTAGGTCTAGTTTGGAAGCAAACACACCCTCACACGTTAAAACACAGTCGCACACACTTCATCTTCATCCCTCACAATAACTGTGACATTCAACCTCCTGCCCTGCCAGTGGCCCTCAGTCAAACTTTGATTGGCAGGAGCTGGGTCTGTCCCCGGCCCCCTCCAGCACTGGGCGATGTAAACATTCACACCCGCGCTGGGGCCCGGGACCGATCTGAGGCAGTGATATCACAATCCCCCTCTGTGCCGTATGGTCAATGGTGGCCTCTGTCTACTCCAGCCCACCACAGATAATCAATGTTATGTTTATCCTCCACGCCGACAACAAACGCTAACATTCCACAGTTTTCGGCCCAGCATGCACCCTGGGGGGATGCACGTCATGCGGGGATGAAGACAGCAGTCCAAGAAAAAAAGAGAGAGACTTAACTAACTTAATAGCTTAAACTTTGTGCTAAAAGGGGATGGTAGGAATGCACAAAACAGAAAGTTTGGCTAAAATAAATTAAAATGAATGAATGAACGAATAATAAATATTGTATGTATGTGTGTATGTATATATATATATATATATATATATATATATATATGTATAATTAATTTATAATAAATAGTTAAAATACTTTACTGTTTTAAAAACTGTTAAAATTTGATTTAGAAAAATCTAGAATTGATATGTTTCCAGTAAAACTTAGGAAAATATTATGTACAGTAAAAAGACATTATAATTATTTATTCTATTATATATAATAACAATCATTTAAAAATGTACATAAGACTGATTTTTTAAAAATGATTTAAAAATTCTAGAATTGATATGCTTCCAGTAAAATTATCAAAATATTATGTACAGTAAAAATACAGTTATTTCTAATATACTATATATAATAAAAAAAATAAAAATGTATATATAAGACTGATTTTCAAACATTACTGTATAGTATTTTTGAAACTTAAATAACAATTTACTGTTTGAATTGAAAAATGTAGGCCATGAATATGAACTCATTTCAATAGTAGAAAATTTAAAAAAAAAAAGAGAGAAAGATAATATCGGGCAATATTGATAATGTTATCGAATGAATACATTTTTTGTTGGAATGGAACAAAATCTTTCCTTCCATAAGTCTTGCGTTCCTCCAAAAATACACGTCTTAGCTTGTCTGCCCAAAGGCAACAATTCCTTTAGTGGGTGTGAAGTTCAAAAATACATAAAATAGTGCTTCCCTTCACCTATAGAATGAGCATTAATGGCCATTAGCTGTGAACATGTAAGAACTGTTATCCACTAAATCATGAACAGCTTAATCCTGCAAAAAACTGAGCAACTCCACCTGTACTCAGTGGTGGACAGTAACGAAGTAGTTTTACTTCGTTACTGTACTTAAAGGGTTAGTTCACCCAAAAATTTAAATTAGCCCATAAATTACTCACCCTCAAGTCATCCTAGGTGTACATGACTTTCTTCTTTTAGACGAATCCAGTCGGAGTTATATAAAAAATTGTCTTTGATCTTTCAAGCTCTATCGTTGTACTCAGCGGGTGTTGCAGTGCTTCGGTTCAAATGACGTGAAATAAAAAGCACCCTTCCACAAAAAAAAGTGTCTCACACGGCTCCGGGGGGTGAACAAAGGCCTCCTGTAGCGAATCGATGCGTTTTTGTAAGAAAAATATCCATATTCAAAACGTAATAATCACTTGAATCTAGCTTGCGCTCACTGTTTTAAACGGAAGCAGTTCCGGGGGAATTACATATGAGGTCAGCGCTGCTGCGCATGTGCGGCTCAGAAGTGACGCACGCGGAGAGATCGAAACAAAACAACGGTCACTACCAAATATTTTTATTCAACCACCTAGATAGATTACATCTGAGGGAAAACGATATGATGTGATGTTCAGAACATGGCAACTACGGTAATTATCAAAGTGGGTAGTGATACCCTCTGGGGGCATTTGGCCAGGGGTGTTTTTACACCACAGACAAGGTTTGAGAAGAAAAAAATCATTATGAAAATCTAATTATATTTTCCTTATTATATTCATTATTTCCTTATTGGTTATTTTGGGAAAATCCCAGGTATTTTGAGCAGTAGGATTATAAAAAATATATGCTAATATAAAATTAAATGATAAAAGTAGCCTATATAAAACTGCAAAATAAACATTCATCTATCAGTACTTTTTACTTAAGTACATAAAAAATCAAGTACTTTTGTACTTTCATTCGAGTAAAATTGAAAACCGAGTACTTTTACTTTTACTTGAGTAATATTTTATTATACGGATCTGTACTTTTACTCAAGTACTTGATTTGTGTACTTCATCCACCACTGCCTGTACTTGTTGGGTTTCAACCATTAATTTAATAAATAAAGACTTGGTTAGAGTTTGGAGTTGAATACTGGCATGTTAAACTGCTTACAAATCATCCTTGAGACAATCAAAGTACAAACAGACTCCATTTTCGTTACAGATTGCTTAAACAGGCTTTTGTAGTCATTAATTAGGAATCTGTACGGTTTTGGCAACACCACGATAGTGGATCCATTGTAAATCTCCAAATGATACTGGAAGCATTTCTTAAATATTAAGCACGACGGTTAAACATTAATCTGAGAGTCTGAGTTTCTCTCGTTAGTCACACGATCAGCCGAGGTCACCGTGTCAGAATAGAACGCGTGATGCTGACAGAAAGTTATCTGGTAGCCAATTGTATCTTCCATTCTAATGAGAAAAATGTGTGTTTGGTTTCTCTAAGAATAATAAAGCTAACGAACAGAGGCCTGTGTTGTGTTATGAATGATTGATTGTACATTGCGCCTGCATAAGTCACAGGTTAATAATTAGACATAATGGGATTGTAAGCGTATAAGAAGATTAGCTTCACATCAGTGAAAAAGATGCAAGATTATACTGTGAATTTAATAACGCCTACAAAAACTATACTCTCATACAAATATATTTCAATAAATAAAAAACAAGAAACATTTTAGCTACGTACACACTGTAAAGTTTCTCTCAAGAAACTGCGATGATTGACACCATGGTAACCATAGCAACCTTTTGCCGTCTCGCACATTTAGAATCCACCATTTTTAGCCAAAGATATACTACACCAACTAACGACTCGTTTTGTTCTATGATTTTAACTAAACCACCGTCAGGTTTTGTTTATGTTTGGAAGGTTGAAGGGTTGCCATGTCCACTTATTATTAAGCGTCTTTGGGCTTGTTGTTTGGGCTCGGCTCATAAAGCGATCCAGTTTATCAAGTTAATAAAGTAGGCAAATCACTATATTTTGGTATGTGGCTTATTACCAAGATAACGCGTTTGGATTTGAGTTTATTATGGGCTTGTTTTTGTTTGCCGCCTTTTTCTAGCAAGATCTGGCAACACTAATGAGTCAAAATATACACTGTGATTTCTTGCACCTCACATTCAGAAAAGACACAACTCTGATACGCGTTTAAATACAGCATTAATGAACTAGTTGTTGTAGAATGTAGACTTGTGCCGGTATTCGGTGATGCGATATATCACGGTAATGAATATGCACGATATTGTTATCGTGGGCTCTTCTAAATACCGTGAATTATTATATATTACAAGTTATTCAGAATTTTGAATGCATTTTAAGAATACTTTTCCCATCAACTGGTCAAAATGCACAACACCG